GCTACTGGACTTCAGTAGAGAAAATAATAACATAATTAAGATGTTGACATTCCACACTACTTCAAACAAAAGGTTAGGAAGGAAATTCCCTTAATACTAGAAACAGCGGTAACAGTTAATAGACTTGAAAAAAAAAACTATTTTCCTAAAATTTGTTTTAAGAGAAACATTTTATAAATTTCAAACGAAAGTAGCACTGGCTACTCTTGGCAATTTTCCGAGCTTTGGTGACTGAATTAGAGATTTGGGAAAGTCGGTAAAACCAAGAGTTATTTCCGAATTTCTGATTATGTAAATGTAAGAAAAAAATGTCCAGGCCCTTAAAATATTGAACCTTAAAAAAAAAAAAAAAAAAAAAAAAAAAAAACCCAGAAAATAAACGTTTATTTGTAACTAGTCGCTTAATTATGTAAGTTATCGATTTTCTGTAACGGAATAAAAAAAGGAAAATACTATTTTGCTGGTTACGGTAAAATATGCAAACTTGCTTTTAAACTTATTTTACCGCTCTCGGTAAAATAGTCCCCCAGGTTATTTTTTTATTATTATAAAGGCAGGTAATGTTAAAAATAACAGACAGATTTAACACAGAAGTTTATTTATATTCACCATCAATTGTTAAAACAATTTAAAATCTTTTCCAACATCAATTGTTAAAATAAACTGTTGATGGCGGAAAAGATTTTAAATTCTCTCAACAATTGATGGTGAAAATAAATAAATTGTTATTTATTCATCATTAATTATTAAAAGAAATATGGAAGTCTCTGAATATTTCAAGCTCTTCAGGCATAACAGTTCCTGCAAATCCTAAACTTGCCTTTGGGCGTGGTTCTCTTGCCAATAGACATCGGGTGAACTCACTGAAGACAGCAGACCACAGAATCCATCTTGTTCAAGTTCTGCCTACACAGCTCACACAACCACTGCATTGACGATCTCAAGGCTCAATAAGCATGTTGTATAGCTTTTCAACTATCTGGATCAAAATGTCTTCTGGATTGACATATTTTCATCCAGCCTTGCTAGTGGCATTGCAAGAGGGTTTTTGTATCTTCACAGACCGGCAAAATAGATTTGGTGTCCATTTTACTGGGACCAGCAAAATAGCCTATTCGTTTTATTTATTTTCACAATCAAGTAAGGCATTTTAAAATAAAAAAAATAAGTTAAAATCATTTATTCATCATCAGTAATTAAAAGAAATATAGAAGCCTCTGAATATTTTAAGAACTTCAGGCATAGCAGTCTTCGCAAATCAAAAGCTTGCTTTTGGGCGTGGTTCTCATGCTAATACACTTCAGATATACACACTGAAGACAACAGTCACAGGCCACAGAATCCATCTTGTTCAAGTTCTGCCTACACAGCTCACACAACCACTGCGTTGACGATCTCAAGGCTCAATAAGCATGTTGTATAGATTTTCAACTATCTGGATCAAAATTTCATCTGGATTGACACATTTTCATCCAGCCATGCTATTGGCATTGCAAGATCTTCACAGACCGGCAAAATAGATTTGGTGTCCATTTTACTGGGACCAGCAAAATAGCCTATTCGTTTTATTTATTTTCACAATCATTTAAGGCAATTTAAATTAAAAAAAATTGAAGTTAAAATCATTTATTCATCATTAATTATGAAAAGAAATATAGAAGTCTCTGAATATTTCAAGCACTCCAGGCATAACTGTCTCTGCAAATTCAAAACTTGCCCCCTGGGGATTGTTCTCTTGCCAATAGACTCGCTGAAGACAACAGTGACAAGCCAAAGAATCCATATTGTTTAAGTCCTGCCTATACAGATCGAACAACTGCTAAGAGGTTCTCGGCAAAATACAAAGATGGATATGCAATATGATCAGTCCTGACTTGAGGTCTTGACTACAGTCACATTCTCACCGATGTAATGTGGCTTCCCTCTGTCTTTTCTACAAATATTTTCATGGCATCTGCTCTGACGAGCTATTTTCTCTAGTGCCCCGACTGCATGAATTTAAGCGTGCTACTAGGTTGGCATCTCGGTCCCACCATATTACTGTCGAAACAGTTAAATGTAACCGTCAATTCTACTCCAAAATCTTCTACCACACTTCCCGACAATGAAACTCACTTCCTCTTACTTGCTTCCCTGATAACTATAATCATCAAAAAATTAAATGTAATGTCAATCGGCATCTTCTGATGCCTTGATCCCCACTCGTCTTTTTATCCTTTCCTCAATTTACTGCCCATACCCAGTATTTTCACTTACTTTCGCTCTCCTTGCGTACTAGTGGCACTCCTGCCTTGCTTGGGGTGAATTGCTTATATATATATATATATATATATATTCTTCGTCCGAAAATATTATTTATAGCGTTAGTGTCAATTTTATAATTGGGCTAGTAAAATAGTATTTTCATTTTAAAAAAACTCTTTTAAGTATCTGTCTATATTTCTGAGATGAAGTATTATGTACACTATTTACATTATTCAGACTATTGTCCTCATCTTTGTCGCCATATTTATTACAACGTTTTGGCCTTTCAGTATCTATCTATATTTCTGAGATGAGATATTATGTACACTATTTACATTATTCAGACTATTGTCCTTATCTTTGTCACCATATTTATTACAACGTTTCGGCCCTTCAGTATCTGTCTATATTTCTGAGATGAGGTATTATGTACACTATTTACATTATTCGGACTATTGTCCTCATCTTTGTCGCCATATTTATTACAAACTTTCGGCCTTTCAGTATCTGTCTATATTTCTGAGATTAGGTATTATGTACACTATTTACATTATTCGGACATTATACGGGTATTGAACTCACACTCTTTGTGTCCTGTCAGTGAATCTAACCAACGTTCTGTGACAGGACCCTAAGAGTGTGAGGTCAGTACCCGATTAAGGCAGTGGAGAACTTGGAGAGGGGAATTAACTGAAGGTAACGGATAACTGACATCCATTAGGCATGGCACGTGGAACTAGAAAAGTCTACCTCTACGAGCGAAATGAATTATTCAATTCGACACTCCAACCACCTGAAGAAGGCCGGAGCGTACAACGGCCGAAACGTTGTAATAAATATGGCGACAAAGATGAGGACACTTGTCCGAATAATGTAAATAGTAAACTCTTTTAAGAAACAAACATATAAATGCGTTAATCTAAACTTCTTTATTTTTTGGTTTACCTTGAAAAATCAGCATGATAGCTTTACCCGATCTCGAACCCGAGTGTCTGGCAAAATAGGAATGAGAAGTTACTGAGAAAACTGCTAACGAGTTTATGCTAGTAAATTGAAAATGTTGCGTTCTTTTTCTTTGTAAAGTTGAGAAATCTGTGTCAGTGGAGGAATTTCTTTCTTTATCGACGATTAACAAAGTCTGTGAAAGAGAGAGAGAGAGAGAGAGAGAGAGAGAGAGAGAGAGAGAGAGAGAGAGAGAGAATAATAACGTAGAATTTATTTCCCGCCTACGTTGGAAATTTGTTGAAATTTTGAATTAATAGTAAGTGGAGTGGATATTGCTAAGTTTTTATTATCATTATTATTATTATTATTATTATTATTATATGAAGTTTTCTTTAAATTTTGCGTTTTGGTAGCAAAAGATTCCCGTTCGAAAAGCAAGAAAGAAAACGACGCAAGAAAAGAAAAGAAAAGAAAAAGAAGAAAAAAACAAAGAAAGAAACGCTGAGAATTAACAAAGAAGAGAGAAAGAGAGAGAGAAAGAGAGAGAAAGAAAAAAGAGAGAGAAAGAGAGAGAGAGAGAAAAAAAGAGAGAGAGACGATAAGAATTGAGAAGGAAAGAAAGAGGAAGAAGCGAAAGGGAGACGAAAGAGTAAAATCTTTAAAAAAAAAAAGAAATTTAAAAAGAATAATCCTCTTTTTAACTTTGATTAAAAGATGAAAGGAAACAGGAAAAAACGTAATCGTCTGAGTCATTGAAATATCAAACTATTTGCAATAATGTGTTAGTTTTATTATTATTATTATTAATAATTGTGTATATTAGGCTTCCTGCTTTGTATCCTGTAGAGCCGGGTCCAAACTATGGTTCTTAGGCCCTATAGGAGAATTGTCATTTAATTGATAGCACTTTTCTTAGTATATGCGATGTTTCTAGTAGGGTGATCTTCTGGGCAACTTTTATGTTGATGTTACCTGGGACATTGTTAGTAAAACTGTCCATTCCTTTTCCCATGAGGCCCGGTGCTCCGATTACTATTGGTACAGTCTCAGTCTTCATTCCCCTCATCCTGTTAATCTCGATGTCCAGGTCCTTGTATTTGGACAATTTCTCGATAATTTTCATGGAGGTGCTTCTCTTACATGCCACTGCTATGTCAATAAACATACATTTCCCTGAATTTCTTGTCTTTTATGATGATATCAGGTCTGTTGGTTTTATTTCCCTGTCAGTTTGAATTGGCATGTCCCAGAGGATAGTTACATCGTTATTTTGGGTAACTGTGTCTGGTTGGTGCTCATACCATCTCTCAGTGGTTTCGATTTTGTGCTATTTACATATCTTCCACTGAACATGTTATGTCTATGGGTATATTCATTGTTTTAGCCAGTTCCGGACATCATGAGATAATATGGTCGACAATTTCATAATATTTTCTGAAGATCCTGCATTTCGGGTTAGTTCCATTATTGAACATGTATCAGTGATAGGATCTGGTTGAGAGGCTTTGGTCTCATTATTATTATTATTATTATTATTATTATATGGAGGCAGTTTTCTTTAAATTTTGCGTTTTGGTTGCAAAAGATTTCCGTTCGCAAAGCGAGAAAGAAAATGACGCAAGAAAAGAAAAGAAAAAGGAAAAAAAACAAAGAAAGAAACGATGAGAATGAACAAGGAAGAAGACACAGAGAGAAAGAGAGAGAGAAAGAGAGAGAGAAAGAGAGAGAGACGATAAGAATTGAGAAGGAAAGAAAGAGTGATGTATAAAACGCAAAGAGGAAGAAACGAAAGGGAGACGAAAGAGTAAAATCTTTAAAAAAAAAAAATTTAAAAGAATAATCCTCTTTTTTAACTTTGATTAAAAAGATAAAAGGAAACAGGGAAAAATGTAATCGTCTGAGTCCTTGAAATATCAAACTAAAAGTTTGGAAATATAATAACAAAAGCGGAAACATTTATTGGTAACCAGTCGCTTGTTTATGAAAGGCTTCGATTTTCAGGAACGGGGGATAGAAAAAAAAAAGGTAGAAAGACAATGAGAACCAAGTTATATTGCTTAACGAATTTACGAGAAAAGAGAAAAGATGGAAGTAATTGATAGCAAGAAAAGTTCATTACTTAATTAAATGATCTAATTACGCTTTCGTGCGCTAACTTGTGTGCATGAGTAGGCTTATGAGTAAATGACAGCTTAGACATTGTCTGAAAATCTGTGATGAGTGTTATTGGCATTATTCCAAACACCATTCATGGCGCCAAACTGCCGGGTAAAGTTTAACGTGCTAGTCAAGCAGGCTATTAATACTGAGTTCGATCCTTACAGGATGCGATGGATAAATTATCGTCTAAATTCTACAAAAATGAAAAAAAACAAAAAACACTGATATCTCATTTTAACAGGTATATTTACCAAAATTGCACAAAATTATCTTGAAATGATAACGTGTAAATTTCTTCAATAAAACAGCAATCGGCTTCAACCCCGGCCTCGGAAAGACTTTGGAAACCCCCGTAAATCTTCTGGACAGCATTATTGTTTAAGTTGGTCAATGCTACCATAATCATACTTATTATAAAACCCAGGTTGTGTGCGTGTGTGTCTGTACGTTTATATATGGGATCGGATTTCCTACATTTTTCAACCGATTTCAACAAAACTTCACAGGACTACGTAAAATTACCTTGCGGTTGTTCTGACAGCGCCAAAAATTGGAAAAACACAATTGTTTTTGCATGAAATCAATTTGAAAATACGATTAAGAGGCATCACGAGAATGAAAGGGGGACAACTCATATCGAGTTATACTTATTATAAAATTAGGCTGTTTGTGTGTGTGTGTGTGTGTTTGTTTATATATGGGATCGGATTTCCTACATTTTTCAACCAATTTCAACAAAACTTCACTTTTTTTTTGGCAGGTAGTGTTTCTTATTGTCTTTCACATTTTTTTCTTTATTTTTACATTCAGAATGCTTTAAAAATTCCATTTACAAGACAAATGTTTATAATAAAATTCTATTCAATCGGTAGACTCATAACGATTGAAAACAATGTTTTTGTTTGAGTTTGGGTTTGACCAATTCGTAAAAAAAAACAATAAAAAAAAAGACATGCGCGTCCGTCAACCTTAAACAATAATCTTTGTCAATTTTATTTTTCAGTCTTTATGATGGTCGATACTTGATCTATCTCTTAATGTTACATCCCGGGGCAACGCCGGGCTCTACTGCTAGTTTTTGCTATTACAAGGAGTTTTGACGCTCTTTCGCTCAACTGCGCCCCAAACATAATAATCACGGGGGGTGCAGTCTTGGGAGTTACGTCGCCAGATGTAAGAGGTGATGTGGTCGCAGAAATTGTCTAACAGCCATGACTGGGTTCTCCTGCTTGTGTGGCATGGTGCAGCGTTGTTTTGCTGGACATAGTGTCTTCCAGTAGCCACCTCTTGACACAGGGCAATACTACCTCCTCAAAGCACTTGATGTAGACTTCCGGGTTGAGTCCGAGGCAAATTTAGGAATTCTTTTCTTATCAGAACGATCAGAGTATGTTTGCCTAGCTACCGTACCTTCGTAATCACCATTAGACTCATCCAACTCTTTCCGAATGCTCTGTACTATCCTCAAATTTACACTCTGAAATTTTCGTATTGGAGATTCCGGCGTGAATGCCAAGCTGTACAGCATGCCGTTTCCAAATTTCTGGCGGAGTGAATTGTATCTTGGTGCTCTTTTTCTCACAGACGGTGCCCAACTGACCCTACTATACTGTGCAGTTGACAAAATACAAAAAAATAACACGCATGCGCAAAATTAAAAGTATAAAATGGCGACTAATTACCCATCGCATCATGTATTCCATACTGTAGCCTTTTACAAGAAAAGAGTTATAGTGTGTAAATACCTTAATTCTTTGCATGACTTGATACAGGGTAATGGTTAACGAGTAGCTTTAGCAGCATACTACTGATCTGTGGTGAGTTTCAATCTTCATTTCAAGCTCCATACTTACATGCCTTGTGTCAGACATTAGTAAGTACATTTGGAAATTTTCACCGTGGTAAAGAGCAAGCTTATCTCGCAGGCCATTACTACGTTGTAATCAGTTCGATCATTATTGGGTACCCTATAAATGGGAACATATACCTGGCAAAGTAAATATGTAGTTTATCCTCTTTGGGGGCTTTGCCGTTAAGTGATGATTAACGAGTTTCTTTGCGTAGACCTTAATTATGTGTGGACTAAATAAGTTGCCTAAAATTCTGAAATTAAGTATTATTAGTTTACGAGTTACTAGGCACAGTGGATAATGGTACGGATTGTGGAATCGGAGAGCCGAGTTCGAATTCCAGGCAAGTTAATTACATTCACATACATGTTAATATCCTTTGGAAAGGTATGGACCCTGCTCTTCTTACCCTCCTCCAACTATGAGTAAATAGCAGGAAACACTGGGCCATATAACCTCAGGTGGTAATCGATCTAGTATCTTCATCCTTGTTGTTTTTAGCACCACGTTTCGGCCGATGGCTGCTCCACCCTTCATCAGGTGTATTCGCTTTCGATTTTCTTTTCTTTCATAGAACTGCACAGCAGGGATTGGTACATGTAAAAGAATTTTCGGTCGGTGCAATCTTTGAAATTTAAATTCATTTTCAAATTTTTTTTTCCTTATATCTAAAATTCTACGATTTTATTTTCATGTGATCAAAATTTTTTCGCCGTCCTCAGTAAGACGATGAACTACATCCGGCAGTAAGACTTCTGATCAAGACGTTTTGAGAAGCGTGCAACCAGCACTTAATTGCTTGTTTTTCCTTGACCCGGAGTGGTAGCACCTATTACGGTCCCAGCTATGGGCAAATAGTTAACAACTAAACACTATGAAAAATATAAAAACAAACTTTATTAAACCAAAATTTTAATACCAGCAATAAATTTTTGGGGAAAAATTAACGACAATACTTTATTACCAGCAATATATTTTTGAAGGAAAAAACATTACCATAAATACATTTTGTAAATAATTATTACCAGCAATATATTATTTCCAGCAATACATTTTTGAATTAAAACATATTAAAATAAACCAAACCAATACATTTTTACAAAAAATATTACCAGCAATAAAAATGTTGTCGGCATTAAATAACCCATTGAGGTTGATATGCCGTAAAACAAAATAAACCAAACCAAACTGATTTCTTACAAAGAATACATATTCTATTCATACGAACCTATCCTAAAATATTGTCGGCATTAAATAACCCATTGAGGTTGATATGATATGTAAAACAAAACAAACCAAACCAAACTGATTTCTTACAAAGAATACATATTCTATTCATACGAACCTATCCTAAAAATCTTGTCGGCATTAAATAACCCATTAAGGTTGATATGCCGTAAAACAAAACAAACCAAACCAAACTGATTTCTTACAAAGAATACATATTCTATTCATGCGAACCTATCCTAAAAAATCTTGTCGGCATTAAATAACCCATTGAGGTGTCGATATGCCGTAAAACAAAATAAACCAAACTAAACTGATTTCATGCAAAGAATACATATTCTATTCATACAAACCTATCCTAAAATCTTGTCGGCATTAAATAACCCATTGAGGTTGATATGCCGTAAAACAAAATAAACCAAACCAAACTGATTTCTTACAAAGAATACATATTCTATTCATACGAACCTATCCTAAAAATCTTGTCGGCATTAAATAACCCATTGAGGTTGATATGCCGTAAAACAAAATAAACCAAACCAAACTGATTTCTTACAAAGAATACATATTCTATTCATACGAACCTATCCTAAAAATCTTGTCGGCATTAAATAACCCATTGAGGTGTTGATATGCTGTAAAACAAAACAAACCAAGCTGATTTCTTACAAAGAATACATATTCTATTCATACGAACCTATCCTAAAAATCTTGTCGGCATTAAATAACCCATTGAGGTTGATATGCTGTAAAACAAAACAAACCAAGCTGATTTCTTACAAAGAATACATATTCTATTCATACGAACCTATCCTAAAAATCTTGTCGGCATTAAATAACCCATTGAGGTTGATATGCCGTAAAACAAAATAAACCAAACCAAACTGATTTCTTACAAAGAATACATATTCTATTCATACGAACCTATCCTAAAAATCTTGTCGGCATTAAATAACCCATTGAGGTTGATATACCGTAAAACAAAATAAACCAATCCAAACTGATTTCTTACAAAGAATACATATTCTATTCATAGGAACCTATCCTAAAAATCTTGTCGGCATTAAATAACCCATTGAGGTTGATATGCCGTAAAACAAAAATAAACCAAACCAAACTGATTTCTTACAAAGAATACATATTCTATTCATACGAACCTATCCTAAAAATCTTTTCGGCATTAAATAACCCATTGAGGTTGATATGCCGTAAAACAAAATGAACTAAACCAAACTGATTTCTTACAAAGAATACATATTCTATTCATACGAATCTATCCTAATAAATGGTGTCGGCATTAAATAATCCATTGAGGTGTTGATATGCCGTAAAACAAAATAAACCAAACCAAACTGATTTCTTACAAAGAATACATATTCTATTCATACGAATCTATCCTAATAAATGGTGTCGGCATTAAGTAACCCATTGAGGTTGATATGCCGTAAAACAAAATAAACCAAACCAAACTGATTTCTTACAAAGAATACATATTCTATTCATACGAACCTATCCTAAAAATCTTGTCGGCATTAAATAACCCATTGAGGTTGATATGCCGTAAAAAAAAAATA